TTCAGGTATGTCCAGTGTGAGACCATAAGCTCCTGATTGGGAAGTCGTTGGAGCGCCAGTTTCATGGGATGGATCATCTTCTCCAGCAACCCAAGTCGTGTATCAGCGTTGCCATCAGCCATGATATCCTCAAAAGCGGTAAGCATTACCTCATCAGTATGATCACTCACAGCGGCAGGATCAAGATGTCGTGCCACACCGAGCAGTGCAAAGAAACTCCAGAAGAATTGCAGACCAGTTTGTGGACCGCGCAAATTCAGGTGAAGCTTCTCGCGGAATGCGGTTCCATCTGGGGATTTCAACCACTTGCAAAACCCGGATCTGAGCCTACAGCCAACTCCCTCCACCACCAGCCCAGCTGATAGGCCCGCCACGTCGTCAGTCTGTTCCGGCTTATTGGAGCATGAGCGTGTTTGTTCCAGGTAGGGTATGAGTATGGTGGTGTCATGGGGACTCATTTGCGATATCAATGAGCCAGGTAATCCTTTCTGTAAGAGTCAGCAGCTGGCCCATCACGCGAGAAGGAAGTCATACGAGGATTCTTAATGGTAAAATGTGAAGGTATCTCAGGTCCTCGACGCCTGGGAGATCGTATGAAGCCTCGATAGCCGCGGTAGCAACGTCTATTCCGCCAGTGTGTAGATGTTCTTGGATGGTCCCGCATAGCAGCAAGTTCATGGAATAAGGAACGGCTGAGTTGAAATGGGTGAACGATGCTTGTCCCGAGTTGGCGCCGCCCACAGACTCCAGAATGTTATGGAGAAGGGAGCAACAATGAAGCTCACTGAAGTCCTCGCATAATGGAGCAAGAGCTCTGTTCTGAAGCGACAGATAGACATTCTCTTCAAGAATTGGTATAGCGATCATGCTACTATCGAGCAGCTTCCTGCATATAGCGAGGACTCCGTAGAAGCGGCAGCGGGCCTCAAGTGAGGATCTCTGCTCACAGTCAGGATCAGCCGGCTCAAAGGAGTGTGCTTTCGGCCTTAGTGTTCTCACCCAGAGACGGCATGCCAGCATTGCCCACTTCATTGGCGTAGCTAAGCATTGTGAACGTCTTTCAAGAAACGATGTAAGCGCGGGAACCTGTTCGGTGGCAACACTCTTGAAAACCCCACGGATAAAACGAGCTCGCGCCAGCATCACTGCTCTGTCATGACCCAGCTCTAGAACGTCGGCAGGATGAGGTACGAAAAGCTCGTATTGCAAATTCATCTCAAAATGGACCTTTCTGAGGTGGAAAAATTGGAGCAGCTCCGGCGGGGCAGCGACCTCCCAGTATTTGCGGTCGGCCGTAGGGCCAATGACAAAGAACTGTTCATGGGCGAGTGCAGAAATGAGATCTTGAGCAGAGTTGAAATATAATTGAGGCACGTAAATAGGAATAAGAGCATGAGAAGCCATGTGTTCACTCTTCAACATAATCAGCTTGTTCTCGAATCTCGAAGTATCCTCGAGATACGCTCATAAAACATTGCTAGGCGATGTATCTATGTGAAGTCGTTGTAAACAAGCCTGGCCAAGAATATTGCTCAAGTCTGATAACCAGTTCTCTGAACATCAAGGTCATGATCACTTGCGAAACATGAAAAAGAAAGTGTGCCCATAACAAAGCAGGCGTGAATGAGAAAAATGTCCTGGGACGAGGGCGACGGAGGGGTAGTTCCAACAGCTAGCGCCCTACAGTGCTCAAGCAGCTCAAATCCTAGCGCCCAGGCAACTCCGCTGTCAAAAATATCCGGGGTCAGACTGGTAGCGCGCAAAGTACCTGCAGCTACCAAAGAGCGTCGCCCCTTCAATAGTCAAGGCACGCCTGCGTGGTTAAATCCTGGTCGGTCGCCTCCAGATGAGACCGCTCCAGCCGGAATTCCTACCTCTCTGCATGGAGGCCACAGTTTGCAGGTGGTTGGGGGAGACGTGGTTTGTACACATCTTGGAGAGGCACACCGGCGCGGCTCTGTCCGTAAGACGAAGTCTGCCGCGACCCACCATGCTCCTGTTCAGTGCACCGACAAGGATGGAAAGAGCACACCCACAGGATCTTTGGGACGAATTGAAGTGCAGGAGCGCAGGCACACGCCTCCCTGGTCCTCGACCTATGCTTGTGTA